AGCGGACCCAGGATTCCGAAGGCTCCTTCAAACTGGAGGATCCAACAGAGGTGACCCCAGGATTGAGCTTCTTCAACCCCGTATGTGCCACTCCAAACAGCAAGGTCAGTGGGCAGTGGGCTAAAAGGCCTTTGCTGTGCCAGAGAGCGGGGAGGGGGGGCAGTCTGCTTAGTGGGGACAGGAATGGGGCATAAGCTAGCGTCTGTTTCTTCCTGCAGGGCCATCTTAGGGGATGCCTCGTACTGTCGTGAGCTTTGGGCATTCGTAGGGGCTGAGCTGGGCTGAACCTCTGCCCCCACCCGCGATGTAGTCACACGTGTTTCTGCCCTCCCTAGATCCTGAAAGAGATGTGTGAGGTGGAGCAGGTTCTACTACAGACAGCTGCGGACGCCTCTTCTCTCGGTCTCCCAGAGTCGAAACATGTAGCCACAGAACCCCAAGAAAACAAGGCTCCGGGGAAGAAAAAGAAACGAGCTCTGGCCAGCAACATCAGCTTCTTCTCCGGCTGCTCCCCCATTGAAGAAGAGGGCCCCTGAAGCTGAACCCGTCATCTCCGCCCCAGTCTGGCCTGTGCGATGCCTTCCGGTTGCTGCCAGAGGCGGTTTTGTCGTGACTCCTCTCGATTTCAGGTCTCTTGCTGTTGGAAAAGGGGACGGCGTGTTACTGGTAGGGATGGGACTTGCACTGGACGTCGGCCCTCAGTCTCCAGCCCTCCGGCCCTAGACTGCTACTCGCGCTTCTCCGGAAGGTGCTAAGCCGCCTGCTGAAGAAACAAGCAGCTGACCTTCCTGCTGACTCGTGGGGAACCAGTCCCCAGTTCAGGCTGCCACCCGTGCGGAGGGGGCTGAGGCTGTCTGGTCTCTAGGTGGTCTCAGCTCAACGGCCCAGCCTGCCCTGGGCGGGAGGCCTGGCACCAGGCTTTCAGCCCGCCTCAGGAAGGGGGTCTCCGCGGTGCTGGGTAAATCTTTAAAAATGTTAATGTTTTAATAAGTAAATTAAAGAAAGGAATCAATAAAGAAAGCAAGCTTAGTGCTTCTACTGTTTGAGAAGATACTTCTGGTGGCCCCTGTCCCCAAGGGGAGTGTGGAGCACCCCGTGATGTCTTCATGTCGCTGTGCTACCTCTGGAAGTCAGAGTGACTCCCAAAGCCAGGCGGCCGACCTCTCTCCGCTGTACAGCCCGCCGGGCGTCTGGTTACGAGGACGGGACCTGTGTACTAGGCAGCCCGTGCGCCTGCCACAGTTTCGCTGGGAGTCACAAAGTTGGTGGGAAATGGAGCTAGGACTTGATCGAATGCAAAAGCTTCTTTTTTAATCCTCACCCGAGGATATTTTTGTGGGAGGGAGGGGGAGACACACACACCCCGATTGGTAGCCTCCCGCACACACTGAGCACCCCGACCAGAGCCAGGGATCGAACCTGCAACCCAGTTACACGCCCTTGACCTGGAATTGGACTCTCGACCCTTTGGTCTGTGGGCCGAAGCTCTAACCATGGAGCCCCGCCGGCGGGGCACTCTAGCACCCCCACTTCTAATGCCCTGCAGCCTGGCTTTGAACGGGGAGCGGAGGCCCGGCCTCCTCACTTGGCATCAGAGCTCCCCGCCTCTGCTTTAAGCGGAAGGGGGCCGCCCGGGTGCCAGACACGTTGCTGACTGGCCCCGCAGCCTTCAGAAAAGCATGCGAGTCCTGGGCCTCGTATCCATGCGTTCTGAATTGCAGCCCCCACCTAAATAAAGGCTCCCAAAGCTCCCCCAGACTCCTCAGATCCACCCGAACCCTGCAAAGGAAACAGGGGGGCCAGCAGCGGGTGAAGCCTGCAGTACGAGGTGCCCCGCCGCCCTCTCTGGCCTCCTGCCAGCAAGCAGCCCTGCTTCTCTCTGCATTTTAATGTCCAGGGAGCAAGAGAGCCTCTGCCATTGCCAACTAGAGCCCCTGGATACAATGGGAAGGCAGAGGGAGGGGGGCCGTCTCTTGGCATAAGAGAGCCAGTCTTCTCACTGTTCCAAACCAGTGTGAGTGGGGGGAGGGGCAGCCGAGCTGTCCCCAGAGAGACATCCTTTCCCACCGACACTGCGCTAGCCCAACACTACCTTCCAGCCGCCGCATCAGCCAGAAGGTAGAGAGGAAAGGTCAGCGGAGGCGGCCGCCAGCCCGCTCCCACCCCGAGAGCCCTCCGCTTTAGCAGGAATCTGACCACAAGTGCTAGCCAGCCCTCTCTGCTGATGGTGTAGTAACGGCACCTTTTGTATGTTGTGGACGAAAAGGGAACCCCGTGCTAAACCTGACGGGGGGGGGGGGGGGCTGCATGGCAGCCTTAGGAACTCAGACTGAAAGGAACCACACAGGATGATCATAAAAATTCCTCACTAAAAGCAGGGCAGAGTGGGTAGTCACATCCTAGGCCTGCGTATCTTTGAGCCTGTATATTGTCTTTTTGCATCTAAGATAACACACCCTTAGAAAGTCAGAGCAATCTTTTCCAGAACCCTTGGGACCCACCAGAGCAGAGACTACGAACCCCTCATTGTTATTTTGTTCCTCTATGTGTTGTAAATGCTAACTGTCCTGTACCCCGCCGATGTCAGAGATGTATGAGTCCCCATTTCACTCTTTACCTGATCCCAGCGATTTCCCTGCTTTGCTTTTTCCTGACCCCTTGGTCCACCACCAGTGGATTTCATGTAACCCTCCTCGGGCGGCTCCTCCTTTGGTTCTTGTGTATAAAATGGACTAAAACTGCCATTCTCTGGAGCATTCTCTCAGTCCCTTGAGATTTTGCTTCCTGGTAATTGTCACTTTGGCTCAAATAAACTCATAAAAATTCTCTGCAGGTTTGATCATTTCTTACATCGGCAATGTGTTCATCTTTCACAAGCCTGTGACCCTAATATCCTGTGCTCCTCAAACGATTCTTGGAAGGAGACTTGAGATGCCTCGGAGATAAAGCCGAGGGAGTGATGCACAAGTCAGCCCTTCTGAATGAGCACGTCCTCTGGGGCGATGCAGGGGAAGGGGAAGATCCCAGCCCAGGGGGACCCCTGGCCTAGAAACGGGGTGACCTGCTGCCCAGGTATCAGGAAGTAGCTTGCAGTTCTTGATAGGATGTGCTTTGAGAAGTGGAAATAGACTCCACCAATGTTGTCCTCCAAGGGGGCTGGGTGGGCCCCTTCTCCTCTGCCAAGTTGCAAAGTTGTGTGGTCACCTCCCTCCAGCTTTCTCCCGCCTCCCAGTGTCCTCAGCCCTCTCCTCCCGGAGCCAGGACAAAGCCAGTGACTGAGGGGAGCAGGAGGAGGGACAGAGAGATGCGGAGGGCTGCACAAAGGAATTCCTCACCCCAAAGCCCCTGACCGGCAACAGCGAGTAAAGAGGCAGATCGGCCCTCCCTCCCCCGCCCTCCCATCTTCGCGCCGCCGGACTGGGCACAGGACCCGCACAGCCTCCTGTAGGTGGCAACAGTGCCACCTGTTTGCAGCGGGGCTGAGCCTCGGACTGCAAGAGGGAGGAGGCAGACAACTCGGAGAGGAGCTGGGAGGCTGTGCTGCGCAGAGCAGGGAGCAGAACTGCGGCTGAGAAAAGGTGTGAGGGCCGGGAAGGCTGGGGGTACAGGCGGGAGCCTGGGCGGAGGCAAACCGACAGGGATGGGCACACCCCCTCACTCCCTCCACTGGGCTCTTCAGGCTGCTCACACCTGACCCCATCCTCCAGGCAGCTCCCGGGATACCGGGGCAGGACCTGAAGGGAGGCAGGAGGTGCGGGTGGAGCCCGGGGCCAGGGTGAGGAGAGGCAGGGCCTCCCTTTGGGATGACTTCTTCCTGGAAGGGGGCTCGGGGAGCAGCGAGGCCCCCACCCCTCTGCACCCTACCCCACCTCCTTTCCCAAAGCAAGCATGGTGTAACGAGGGCAGTTTGGGGAGCCCTCCTTTCAGGGGCCCAGCCACCCTGAGCCCCTCTAAGACCACAGCCTCAGGAGTGGCCAGATGACAAGGGATTGTGTTCCATACGCCACACACGCTTTGGGTGTCTCCAGGAGCTCCTTCCCACACCCAAAGTCATCCACAAACCCATCTGCGCCGCCAGCGCCCAGTACTCCCGCGCGGAGGAGTGCCCACGGGTCGCACCCTGTCCTGGAGAGGCACCCAGCCTTGTTCGGGCTCAGTCAGCCAGCTCAGTCCCGCTCAGTCCCCGCCTGTCCCAAAAGCACAAGGTACAAGGATCGCCTGGTCAAGACAACCACACACCCCCGTACCTTTGTCCTGTATTTGTTGGACTTGCACCTAAGGGACCTCAGAGGGTGAGGCCCCTGAAAGGGGGGAGGTGGAGACTGGGTTCCTGGCTGGGGTCTGAGTGATGACTTGGGCAAGAGGGCTTGGATTTTCCAGGTGATTCTTCAGGAAGAGAGCACCTGAAGACGGCTGGGAGTGACCCAGCCTGCCGGTCCCCCTGGCCTCCTCTCACTGGTGTGCCCCCTGCCCCCTGCCCCCTGGAAGGTGGAGACAGAGGATCCTTCAGTTGGGGCTTTGTGATGTGTGCAATCTGTATCCATAGCAACCGGCCAAGGAGTTAGGCCTCCCTTGAGCCCCAGGTCAACCCTGGAACTTCTTTGGGTTGCTCCTGATCCCTGGGGTGGAAAGCTCATCCTCTTCGTGGGACGGCTGGAAGCTTGGCTAGATCTGCCTCAACTTGCTGGACTGACTTAGCCCCACCCCGAGGAATTGCTCTGTTAAATGGGGATGCTGTTAAGTAGGAGAGATTGGGTGTTCCTCCTGCAGGCAAGCAGGCTGGACTTCCCAGGTGTCCCGCGGACTGAAGGGAAAGCCCCTGGAGGTGGTCGCACCCTCCTCACGTCCTCATCTGCTCGGGCGCGGGGCCTGCCTCGTGACCTCCACGGGCCAGGCCTCTGCTTCTCCCCAGGCTCCTCAGATACGCTGGGAGGAAGGCTGGCATCTGCCTCCTACCAGGGTCCCTGACGGCAGAGGAGCTCTTCCCCCAGGCCCTCATCATGGCCGAGTCCCCTGCTTGCTGCTCCATCTGGGCCCGCAGCATCCACTGCCTGTACAGCTGCCACTGGAGGAAGTGCCCCAAAGAAAGGATGCAAACCAGCCAGGTGCAGTACGGGGGCCGCGCGAGTCCAAGCGAGAGGCCACTGGAAGGGGACAAGGAGGCCAAGGAGGCCACCGCGCTCAGCGGCAGCTGGGGGTAGAGGGGAAGAGGCCTTCTCTCCCCAGGAAGAAAGTCTCTCAAACATGGAAAAGCCTGGGACTCTGAGCTGGAAGTGGGGACGGGCCGTGAGCTCCTCTCCTGCCCCTTACAGTGTGAATACACGTGGTGTGGCCTGGTCTTCCTCACCTGCCTCCTCTCCCTGGGCTGGCTGTACATCGGACTCATCCTCCTCAATGATCTGCACAACTTCAATGAGTGTGTCATGGATTCCTGAGTCAGGACACATGGCATCCCAGTCCCCACCCCGGGCCCCTGGGCGCTGACTCATCCCCGGCCCTGCCCAGCTCTCCCGCTACTAACAGCCTCAGAAGGCCCCTGGCCCCGTGAAGGGCCGCCCCTCACTCCCTTCTAGTCCTCCTTCTGGGTCCACCCCGGCCACTGCTAACACCCCCTTCCTGTACTCGGACACCTCCCTCTCTCCCCCACAGATTCCTGTTCCGGCACTGGGGACACTGGATGGACTGGTCCCTGGCACTTACTCTTTTTGTCTCTCTACTGGTCACATATGCGTCCCTGCTATTGGTGGGTTCAGGGGGGCACTGGCCTAACCTCCATCTGGCCCTTCCTTCCCACTCAGCTCTACCCTGTCCCACCGTGGGGAGGGGAGGAGGGAGGCGTGGGTCTGGGAAGCCGACCTCAGTGACCACCTCTCTTGGCACCTCATTACCTGTTACTCCCAACGCCCTGTGCCCCCAGCTCCTGGCTGTGCTCCTGTGGCTGTGTGGCCAGCCTCTGCACCTGTACGGTGTCCACAAGGTAGAGTGGGGGCGGGAACGAGCGGGAGAGGGGGCCCCGGACCCAGCATTTGGCTGCCTTCTGAGGATGTTGGTAGCGGGAAAGCTGGGCAGGGCCAGGGATGAGTAAGCCCAAGACCTTGCTATTCTATCCCCGGGGCTCAGACTCAGGACCTGAGCCAGGAAATCTGTGTTAAATGAAAGAAGGCAAGGGGAGGGATCTGGGGAGGGGAACGGTTCCGTTGTCCTAGAGCGAGGGGCAGCCCAGGTAGCCGTGAACCCGGGTTGACAGAAGGCCCCGCCCCTCCCGGGCCCCCCAGGTGCTGCTGCTCCTCACCGCACTCCTCATATTCCTGGGCCTGGTGGTGCTGGACATCCGATGGCAGCAGGAGTGGCTCAGCGTGCGCCTGTCACTGTGGGTGAGTGGCCGAGATCCAGTGCCTGGTTGGGAGCCTGGGCCTGTGATCAGCCCCAGGACCTCTCCCTCACTGGTCCCCCAAGACTGCAAATAGCTCTGAATCCCCAAAGTGAGGGCATCAGAGGAAAGGGGGAGTAGGGAGAAGAGCCCTCCTCGCCCACTCTCGTCCACAGGCCACAGCGCCGTTCCTTCACATCGGAGCCGTCGTGTGCGTCACCCTCCTGGCCTGGCCCGTGGCTGAGAACTTCTATCGTCTCCACAGAAGAGGTGCCAGCTCCACGCCCGCATACACCCTTGCTGGCCACCCCCACCTCAGCCTCCTGCTGCCCGATCTCCTGCCCCCAGAGCTGGCCCGCTGCCCTTTCTCCATGGCCTGCCCCCCCACCCCCACAGGTCAAAAGATTGCGCTACTGCTCCTGTTTTTCACAATGGTCCTGGCCATCTACCTGACCCCCCTGTGCATCTCCTCACCCTGTATCATGGAGCCCAAAGACTTACCCTCCAAGCCTGGGCTGGTCGGACACCGAGGGGCCCCCATGGTGAGTGTTGGGTCTGCAGCAGCTAGGCCTGTGGGTCCCCAGGCTCCCACCCTATCCTGTGACCTCCTCACCAACTCCCTTTGCCAGCTGGCCCCCGAGAACACCCTGATGTCCCTGCGGAAGACAGCAGAATGTGGAGCTGCCGTGTTTGAGACTGACGTGATGGTCAGGTGAGAGGAACACAGCAGGGGAGCTCCGGGAGCCAGAGCAGCCCCCGAGCCCGGCCCTCTGACACCCCTTGGGCCCTCAGCTCTGATGGCGTCCCCTTCCTCATGCACGATGAGCGCCTGAGCAGAACCACAGACGTGGCCTCTGTGTTCCCAACCCGAGTCACTGCCCACAGCAGCGACTTCACCTGGGCTGAACTGAAGACACTCAATGCCGGGACCTGGTTTCTACAGGTGAGGACAGCATCTGGGAAGAGACAGCCACTTGCAGGGCACAGTCCATTCACTGATAAGCACTTGCTGAGCCCTGTGCTGGGCGATGGGTATACAGTCACTGCCCTCGGGTCATCACCTGCTGATAAAAATGAGAGCATGGGCCACAGGCTATCAGAGTATGAATCCTAGAGCGATAACCGAGTGGAGAGGTCACTGTTGGGCAGGGTGGGTCAGGTGTAGTTTCACAGGACACGGCATGAGCGTGGTAAAGCCCAGAAGTATGAGGAAGCGTTTTCAGGGAACATAAAGTGACACCAGGAGATGAAACTGGCGAGAGCAGTGGAGGGGGGCAGGGCCTTGGTCCTGGAAGGTTTCGAATCCAGCCCCACCGTGTGGATTTCAATCCTGCAGGTGATGGAATGATACATGGCAAAGGCCACTTGATTTTTTCAGTTGCTCTTTTCTTGACTACGAAAGTAATACATATTCTTTGGCAACTTTCTTTTTTCATTTAGCTTTCTATGTAATGACACATCAGAGTGTTAAGAGCAAGGGACATCTGGGCTGAATTCTGGCTTCGCCACTTCCTAGCCCTGTGAGCCTGGGCAACATTCTTCAGTCTCTCTCCGCTTCCATTTCCTCATCTGTGAAATGGGAATAATGACAGTACCTTGCAGGATTATTGGGAGGATTACGTAAATTAATACACACAAAGTACTTCTTTGATCTCACATTTGTTTTTGTATTCATGTATTTGCTCGTGTAAATATGGGCTTATTGGTTCTTATTTTACACAATGAGTTATATTTATTATGACTGTGCTCCAATTTCCTGACAAATTCACTAATAATCACTAATCTGCAAAAGTTTTTTTTGGTTTGTTTTGTTTTGTTTTGTTAATGCTCCTCACTGGAGGATATTTTTCCATTGATTTTTAGAGAGAGTGGAAGGGAGGGAGGGAGAGAAAGAGAAACATCAGTGTGAGAGAGACTCATTGATTGGTTGCCTCCTGCATGACCCCGACTGCAGCCAGTGATGGAACTCAACCCAGGTACGTGTCTTTAACTGAGAACTGAACCCAAGACCCCTCAGTCTGTAGGCCAACGCTCTAACCACCGAGCAAACCCGGCCAGGACTAGGAAAGTCTTTTTTTGCACCATTATTTTTTTATTAGGATTTTATTTAGAAATGTGAAAGTATGTATTAAGAGAACATGTATATTATCTCTTTTTTAAACTTTTTAATTAAATTTATTGGGTTGACATTGGTTAATAAAATTATACAGGTTTCAAGGGTACAATTCTATAATACATCATCTGTACATTGTATTGCATGTTCACCACCCCATGTCAAGTCTCCTTCCATCATCATTTATCCCCCTTTATGCTTTTCTACCTCCCCCATCCCCACTTCCCTCTGGTAATCACCATACTGTTGTCTGTGTCTATGAGTTTTTGTTGTTGTGTTGTTGTTTTCTTGCTTAATCCCTTCAGCTTTTTCACCCAGCCCTTCAACCCCCATCCCCTCTGACAGCTGTCAGTCTGTTCTCTATCTCTGAGTCTGTCTCTACTTTGTTAGCTTATTTTGTTCATTAGATTCTACATATAAGTGAGATCATGTGGTACTTGTCTTTCTCTGGCTTATTTCACTTAGTATAATGCTCTCCAGGTCCCTCCATGTCATCTCAAAGGGTAAGAGATCCTTCCTTTTTACAGCTGCATAGTACTCCATTGTGTCAATGTACCACAGCTTTTTTATCCACTCATCTACTGATGGGCACTTGGGCTGTTTCCACATCTTAGCTATTGTAAATAATGCTGCTATGAACATAGGGGTACATATATTCTTTCTGATTGGTGTTCCAAGATTCTTAGGATATATTCCTAGAAGTGGGATCATGGGTCAAATGGCAGTTCCATTTTTAATTTTTTGAGTACCCTCCATACTGTTTTCCACTGTGGCTGCATCAATTTGCTTTCCCACCAACAGTGCACGAGGGTTCCCTTTTCGCCACATCCTCACCAGCACTTGGTTGTTGATTTATCGATGGTAGCCATTCTGACAGGTGTGAGGAGATACATCGTAGTTTTATTGTGCATCTCTTTGATAATGAGTGATGTTGAGCATCTTCTCATGTCTGTTGACAATCTGCATGTCCTCCTTGGTGACGTGTCTATTCAGGTCCTCTGCCCACTTTTTAATTGGATTTTTCTTTATTCTTTTTTTTGGTGTTGAGTTGTATGAGTTCTTTATAAATCTTGGGCATTAACCCCTTACTAGATGTAGCTTTGGTAAATATCTTTTCCCATTCAGTAGGTTATCTTTTTGTTTTGTTGATGGTTTCCTTTGCTGTGCAAAAATTGTTTAGTTTGATGTAATCCCATTTGTTTATTTTGTTCTTTTGTTTCCCTTGCCCAAGGAGATATGTCAGAAAAAATATTCCTAGGAGAAATGTCAGAGATTTTGCTGCCTATGTTTTCTTCTAGGAGTTTTATGGTTTTGAGTTTTACATTTAAGTCTTTAACCTATTTTGAGTTTATTCTTGTATGTGGCGTAAGAAGGTGTCTAATTTCATTTTTTGCACCATTCTCTCCAATATTCCCAGCAGCATTTATTGAATAGACTGTCTTTACCCCATTGTATGTTTTTGCCTCCTTTGTCAAATATTAATTGACCACAAAGTTGTGGGTTTATTTTTGGTTCTCTATTCTGTTCCATTGATTTATATGTCTGTATTTATGCCAGTACCATGCTATTTTGATTACTATGGCTTTGCAGTATAGTTTGATATCAGGTAGTGTAATCCCTCCAACTTTGTTTTTCTTTCTCAAGATTGCTGTGGCCATTCGGGGTCTTTTGTGGTTCCATATAAATTTCTGGAATATTTGATCTAGTCCTTTGAAATATGCCATTGGAATCTTGATACAAATTGCATTGATTCTATAGATTGCTCTGGGGAGTATGAACCTTTTAACAATGTTAATTCTTCCAATCCATGAGCATAATACATGCTTCCACTTGTTTGTATCTTCTTCAATTTCTCTTTCTTTCTTTCTTTCTTTCTTTCTTTCTTTCTTTCTTTCTTTCTAGGTTTTAAATACTTTTATTTATTTATTTATTTTTGTTACAGATGTTTTTCCTTTTTCCCCCATTGATTCCCCCCTCCCCCTCCCTCCCTGCCCTGTCCCCAGCTTTGTTGTCCATGTCCATTGTTCATGCATACATGCATATAAGTTCTGTGGTTTCTCTCTCCCTCCACACCCCCTCTTCTTTCTTTCTTTTTTAAATCCTCACCCAAGGATATTTTTCCATTTATCTTCAGGTAGGGTGGGAGGGAGACAGAGAGAGAGAGAAAGAGAGAAAAACATAAACTGGTTGCCTCCCACACGACCCTGACCAGGGCCAGGGACCGAACTGCAACCGAGGTACGTGACCTTGAATGGAATCAACCCTGAGACTCTTTGGTCCACAGGCCAACATTCTAACCATTAAGCCAAACTGGCCGGGGCTCAATTTCTTTCTTCGGTGTCTTATAATTTTCCAAGTACAGGTCTTTTACATCTTTTGTTAAATTTATTCCTAGGTATTTCATTTCTGATGTAATTGTAAATGGGATTCTTTTCTTAATTTCCCTTTCTGACAATTCATTAGTGGTGTATAAAAATGCAACCAATTTCTGAATATTTATCTTGTATCCTGCTACTTTACTGAATTCATTTATCAGTTCTAGTAGTTTTTTGGTGGAATCTTTAGGGTTCTCTCTATACAGTATCCTGTCATCTGCAAATAATGGCAGTTTTAGCACTTCTTTTCCAATTTGGATGCCTTTTACTTTTTTCTTCTTGTCTGATTGCTGTGGCTAGGACTTCCAGTACTGTATTGAATAAGAGTGGTGAAAGTGATCATCCCTGTCTTGTTCCCAATCTTAAGGGAAACACTTTTATGTTTTGCCGAGCGAGTATTATGTTGGCTATAGGTTTGTCATATGTGGCCTTTATTATGTTGAGGTATGATCCCTCTATTTCCACTTTGCTGAGAGTTTTTATCATAAACGGGTGCTGGATTTTATCAAATGCTTTTTCTGAGTCTATTGATATGATAGTAATTTTTATCTTTTATTTTATTTATGTGGTGTGTCACGTTTATTGATTTGCAGTTATTGTATCAACCTTGCACTCTCGGAATAAATCCCACCATGGGATCATAAATCCCATCATGATGTATGATCTTTTTAATATATTGCTGAATCCAGTTCATTAATATGTTGTTGAGGATTTTAGCATCTATGTTCATCAGGGATATTAGCCTATAATTTTCTTTTTTTGTAGTGTCTTTATCTGGTTTTGGAATTAGGATAATGCTGGCCTCGTAAAATGAGCTTAGGTCCATCATTATTTTTTTTTCTTATCCTCACCCAGGATAATTTTACACTTATCTTCAGATAGAGTGGAAGGGAAAGAAGGAGGGAGAGAGAGAGAGAGAGAGAGAGAGAGAGAGAGAGAGAGAGAGAGAGAAACATCGATGTGAGAGAGACATATTGACTGGTTGCCTCCCGCATGACCCCAACAGGGGCCGGGGACAAACCACAACCAAGGAACATGCCCTTGGCCGGAATTAAACCCGGGCCCACATGCTAACCACTGAGCCAAACCGGCCAGGGCCACCATTATTTTTTATTAGTATTTTTTTAAATCCTCACCCTAGGATGTTTTTTTAAAATTGATTTGAGAGAGAGAGGAAGGGAGAGAGATCGAGAGAAACATTGATATGAGAGAGAAACATCAACCAGTTGCTTCCCATATGTACCCTGACTGGGGAATCAAACCTGCAACCTAAGTATGTGCTCTGACTGGGAATTGAACTGAAATCTTTTGGGTGCACCAGATGATGCTCCAGGCAATCGAGCCACCCAGCCAGGGCCACCATTATTTTCGAAGGATATTTTCACTGTATATAAAATCATCATTGAGATTTTTTCCCCCCATACCTGGCATACATTATATTCAAGTAGTCAACCATAATTTTTACCTTTTTTTTTTTTTTTGCAAGCATTCTTGTTGTTTTTCTGGAAGATTATACATATGAAAGTCCTTACTATGACTTTCCAGAGTGCTTCTTGTCCACCTAATTTTGCATCATTCAAATAGGATATTTTCACCTGCCTCCTAAAGCATTTTTGACACTACCTGGCACACGGTCAATACTTAATAAGTGTTAGTTAGCTTGCTTTTTCCAGGTCAGCGATTAGGAGCTCAGGTCATTTGTTGATTATGAGGGGAGGAAAGGAGAGTGACCGAGGTTTTGAATAGCCTCTAGGAGAAATGGGAGAGGGAGCAAATCAAGGACAAGTAAATGGATGGCTAAGTGGCACCAGAGTGAAAAACAGGACTGCAGTGCCAACAGTCCACATGGTGTGCTCTGCCCCTCTCGGGGTTCAAGGGGCAAGTGATTGTAGAATTGAATTCGAGTTTAGGCAATCTGTAGAATAGGTGGGTCAGGAAAATTGTTGATGGTGCTCTGGAAGAGTAGTTCAAGTTGTGGAGGGACCATGGGAGGGGGTGCTGATATTGGGAGGAAACCAAAGACCTTCGTGAAACCAAAAAGAAAGAGGAAGTTAGGGAACTGGGAAGGTAGGAGTTTGGGATCACAGATTAAGGCGTTAGAGAGTCTGGGAAAGGCCATAGTTTGAGGAAAGAAAGACCCTGGCTCAGACGTGGGCAGAAGCTGGACACCAAGTCGGGAATGAATAAGATGGTGAGGATGGAGGGATGGCCCAGAGGCTTCCTCTGGTCTTTAAATAATTTGTCTATCCTTATAGAGGCCACCCTTCTGGGAAGCCAAGCAGTTGTCGGGCCATGACAGGAAAGAGGCTGAGAGTCAGACAATACCGACCTTGGAAGAATTATTGAAGGAAGCTGCTGTCCTCAACCTTTCCATCATGTTTGATTTGCGCCGCCCACCACGAAATCACACGTACTATGACACTTTTGTGAACCAGACACTGGAGACTGTGCTGAATTCAAGGGTTCCTCAAGCCATGGTGATGTTGCCAGGATCCCAAGTGCCCTTCCCCAACCCCCCCCCCTACTGCCTTCCCTAGGCCCTGGTGATAAGCTTGAGCTGTCCCTGCCCCAGGGCCCGGCCTCAGCTCATTTGCCCCATTCTGGGATCAAACCTCTCTGCTCTGCCCCTGTGCTTGGAATCCCCAGGCCTTCCCTAGCTTCACGCCCATCCTCCCCGAACCACAGGTCCTTTGGCTGCCGGATGAAGATCGGGCTAATGTCCAACAACAGGCACCCAGAATGCGCCAGATATATGGACAGCAGGGAGTCAACAGCACTGAGAGGCCCCTATTTCTGAACCTCCCTTATCAAGACCTGACACACTTGAATATAAAGTGAGTGCCAGAGGACAGGAGCTGAGGGGATCATTTGTGGCTTCACGATGGGGAAGAGCCAACGCGGGGAGGGCAAAGACCATTCATACATTTACTCCTATAGCAAATACGTATCAAACACTTGCTGTGTGTCAGGCACTGTTTATTGCAGGCTTTGGGCATCCAAGTGAAAGAGAAAGACAATAAACCGCTGAACAAAAGATATGCCTATTGGACACCAATAAGTGATATGAAGACGATACAATGGGGAGATGCGATAGAGCGATTGGGGTTGGGAGTGAGGGGCTAGGGAAGGGCCACATTAGGAAGGATGGTTAAAGAGGTGGTGTCGGGGCTGAGACCTGGTGGGTCCCAAGAGCGAACAATGAGAAGAGCAGCAGAAGAGCAGGAATACTGCCTACTGAGCAACGGGGAGGCAAGGCTGGAGAGGTAGGCAGGGGCCAAATTGGGTAGGACCTTGGAGGCTACGAGAAGGATTTTAGCTTCTATTCTGCACCAAAGAGATAAGAGCAAGAGAGGATGGAGGCAGGGGAGAGAGGAGACAGAGTCGCACATGTGAGCTGGGCCCCCAAAAACTGACCCAGCCAGTAAACATGATGAACCTCAAAGCATTCAGCCACCAAGATCTCTTCTGGTGAGACAGAAAACAAATGTGGACTGAGTGACAACCCAGTTATGATAAGGATTTCAAGGACTTTTCCTCAAGTTTTCTCCGTGGAGGGAGACATGACACTGGGTTTGGTCCTCACCTTAGTCTTGTCCTGGTCAGTGTTGACTGCCAGTCAAGTTTCCAAAAGATGTGGATTGGCAATGAATACGAGGAAATCAAGGCAGTGAAAGGTCTAACTGCTCTGAGATGATGGGTCAAATGTACTGTGATGAAACACAACAAGGATAGATGTAAACACCTGTCTCTGGGGCCCCAAAGAAGCTCAGTTGCACAAAGACAAGAGAAGAGACACTGGCATCAGCAGCAATGTGTGGAAAAGACCAGGGCTTTGACTGAACAGTGTGCACAATGAGTTGTCGGTGGCACATCGCCTTGCCAAAACGACCCTGACCCTGGGCTGCCTTCATACAGGCACAGCACCCAGAAGGCAGGAAGAGTTTTGTTCTACTCAAAGCTTGTGCAAGCCTCCTGGGTATCATGTGTAGATGCAGACCCTGTACTTTGAAAGGAATATTGATAAACCAGAGTAAGAGCAGATGAAAGGGGTATGTCTGGTAAAGGAAATAAGCCAGGTTCCGAGCCCCAACTGAAGGGACAGTAACTGTTGGGTCTACAAGAGAAGCCTCAGGGGGACATGGTCGCTGTTCCTCAGACCACTGAAGGACTGTCAAGGGACAAAGAGGAGAGCCACATTTGTGTGGCTCCAGACAGCAAAGGTAAGAATCCACCAAAAGACAGAGTTCAATCACTTGGGTCCGGGGCTGTCAAGCAAAAGTGGAAGTGATAGTCCTTTGGCAGGGATGCTGTAGACTCAACTCACACAAAGGCTGCCGCTCATGCCTTGTACCCCATGATTCTGGATGTTCCCCGTTTTTTTCACCCCCATAGGGCACTGCATGAGGATAATGTCTCGGTGAACCTATTTGTAGTGAACAAGCCCTGGCTCTTCTCCATACTCTGGTGTGCAGGGGTGGATTCGGTCACAACCAACGACTGCCAGCTGCTACAGCAGATGCATTACCCCGCCTGGCTTATTGTGAGACTGTCACCCTCCTCCTCTTCCTCCCCCTACTTTTCCTTAACCCTGTCCCTCTCTTCCTGACTTCCCCCCTATACTACCTTTGGGGATCTGGCCATCGACAGGGGCCTTTTCTTATTCCCACAGCCCCCTAAAACCTACCTAATGATCTGGCTTGTCATCAACTGCGTCTCTGCCCTGCTGATTTTGTGGCTCTTCCTTCTCCGTGGGTGAGTGTTCTGTGCCTCAGCTTTCTGGATCTTTATTCTCCCCAGGGGCCAGGTGATGGGACTGATTCAAACTGGCACATGCTGCCTGGATTTGGGGGTTGGGTCTGTTTGGTTCCTTTGAGATTCTCAAACCCTTCCTTGGACACCAAATTGGCTTGAACCTGGGAAAAGCAGGTTGGGGAAACCCAGGGTGAAAAGGTCGTGCTTGAAGTTGGCGGAACTCACAATGGGAAGCTTTCTCCCTAGGAGATGTGCTGAGAAGAGACAGATAACTGGTAAGAACTTTCCCCCCTCACCTCATGTTTCTTTTCCGCCAGCATTCCCCTTACTCATCCCTGCTCCCCTCCCCCCCCCACAGGCTCAGAAACAACCGTGCTGCTGACCAGGATCAACAATTTCATGAGGGAATGAATGCCCTACCTTGGCCCCCACCAGCTGGAGTCTGGGGCCTGTCTTCTGCCCGCAGCCATGAAGGGAAAATGGCTAAGGTGCAACGTTGCTGGGGTTAGGGTGGGGTGAATCTTGCCAACAGGAGGTTTGGAACTATGAGGGAAATGGTGGACATGCCCCAAGCTTTCATGGAACCTGCTTCCCTTTGGGTTTTGACCTGAGGTGGTGGTGGTGGAAGAGAGTGAGCCATGAGAAATTTCTCCCCAAATAAATGTTATAGAAGAGGGGAGATTGCCAAGATAATGTTTCAGACCTGTGTGCACGTGTTCTTGTGTAGACGGCACAGGGTGTGTCAGGGATGGAAAGCTTGGAACAGGGACTGACAGATGACACCTTCCTGGAGAACTGTAAGATGATAGTGGCACCAATCCGGCTCTATTCACTGGTTCCCCCGACCTCTGCGATTTAGCTGCTTTCCTGCTGAGAGGCTGAGGCTAAAGAGCCCACTTAGTTATGTAGTTCTGCGCCTACAGGTGTCTTCTTGCTGCGCACAGCCTTTTTCTCCAGGACATGTTGGTTGGTGTTTCTTGTCTATTAATCTGTTTCTGAATGAATTTCATTTCCATTTGTCCACAGTCTTATCTTTTCAGCACTGGGGCTGGGAGGAGGGTGCACCCTCCATCTAGGGTTGTGTGCGACATGATGAGGAGGGGTCGTCATAGGGAGATGGATGGGTTGGAGGCGGGAAGAGGATCACCTGAGGCCAAGAAGAGTGGCAAGAGGGAAGCCAGAGAGCCACCTCCTCAGGGGTGGGCCGGGTGGCCCAGGCGCACTATACAGAGTTGCTTTGTAGCTCCACCTTGTGGTCGGTCACCTGCCCCAAGAGGAAAGCCGCGTTGGTCATCACCTTGACGTGTTCTCTGAAGGCCACCTGTTTGCCCTGCGAGCTGGGTACCTGTGTCCTTTCCTCTGGATCCTGAGGGCATCATCCTATTTGCACAAGTTTTCACTTCCCTGGGCTGCGCACAGAGTCTGTCTGGTTCCCTCGCCCGCCTTTCCCTCGAAGAGAGAGTTCCAAGTGGGTTTGCAGCTCGTGAGTCCCTGGGTGAAACACCGAGGTGATGAGCGGGGAGCTGGCCTAGGGCCAGGCGTCTGGAAGAAGGGGGCGGGGCTAAGGCAAAAAGGGGAACAAGAGGGGGCTCTGTGGCTGCCTGTTCAGTGCCCAACCGCACCCAGTTCGTGTCCCCACACCAAGGCAATTCGAATCGGGGCTTGAGCGAATTCAGGAGGTTTGGGTCTCCATTCCTCCCCCCTCCCCAGACTGGTACCTGGGACCACACCTGGGGACAAACCCCTACTCCGACGCGGGGCGGGAACTACAATTCCCAGGATGCCCCGGCCACTTCCGGTCTCACGGTGGCGATGGACGGAGGCGAGTTTGAGTTGGTGTTCCCACCCCGCCTTCTCCCGGACCCCGCCCCTCCCTGCACACGCATGCGCAGACACACACAGGCAGCTGTCCGCGCCAACATACCTGGCCTGCAGCTGGCGCGGTGGGCGGGGCGCGGCGTGCGGTGCGCGCGCCGTGCGGCTGCGGTTGGGTCTTCGGCTGCACGCCGGCTGCTGCCCAGCAGGCCCCCGGCACACACCGCCTTCCCTGCGTGTGCTCGTTCCAATCGCGCCCTTCAGGCAGGCCGACTCTCACCTCTCAGCATGTACCTCCCTACTCCCTGTACCTCTCAGCTCCCATCCCTACTTTTCTGTCCCCTCCGGTCGCCCAGCCCCACAGCCCTGCAGCTTCTTCCTCCCTTTCCCTTCCGATCTAACCCTGACCGCCTCCAGGGTCTCCGGCCCCCGCCTGCTCAGCATCCAGCTCCCAGGCTCTCAGCTGTAGCCCTCCACCCTCGGCTTCCAGAGCCCGGCGGGAGGCAGGGCCCAGCCCCTAACCCCTGGCCCCTAGCCCCCAGCCTTGGGTCAGCTCTGAGCTGCCACCGCAAGTCCTTACCCTCCCCCCATGAGCACTGGACAGCGCACTTCAGCTCCCAGAGGCCCTGGACTGGAGACTGAAGCTGACAGAAACCCCAGGGCGGAGGGGCAGGGGAGCTGCTCATTGGGGTTCCGGGCGCAGTTGCTCTCCGTTATTTTTAGTTGCTGACTCACAGCTTCTGGCATCCGGGTTTGGGGCAACCAGACTGGGCTAGGGGGCTATTAATAGAGCTGAGGCACAGTCCCGACCCATTTCAGTGTGGAAAGACACGGAGCAAGGAGCCTCCTCCTGCCATCATGCCCAGTGGCTGCACCAGTACCTCTCTGGCTGCCAGGGTCTTAGCGTGGCATCTCTACCTGGCAACTCTTGAGGGAAACTCCACCATGAGACTCCTGGGCACAGCTCTCCACTACCTTTGCAGTAGTTTGGGGCTCTACCGCAATGACGCTCCTGTTTTACTAGCTGAGAGCGAGGGGTTATTGTGGCCCCAGCCTTGGCCTGCCTAGAACTACCTGGGCCACAATGCTAGAAAAAGCTGTGGATTGCTGGTCCTCAAAGGCCCTCATGAGGACAGAGTGTGCCACATGGTCGTGACAGAGAAGGAGGGGACAGAGCCAGGAATTTGCTAGCCCGGAACCAGACACAGCACTAGGAAGCTGACTGATTCTGTGTTTACCACCCTCCCATTCTTTTTATTATTATTATTATTCCCCTATTCGTGGGCTCTGTCTCCACTCACAGGGGTCAACAGACCTCAGAATCTCTCCCTACTCCATAGAGGAAAAGAATTCAAGAAAGCGAGTGAGAAACTTGTCTCCACCAAGTGCCGTTCCTATGAGGCCTTTTTACTTTAATGAGCTAAAGCAGTAGTTCCCTAATTTATACATTGGGAACGGTGGAGAAATCATTACTCATGCCCAATTTGCTAGAATTCCCATTGACCAAGGGTGCACACTCACAGCAACACCCCCTGCTTGCAAACCCGAAACTTCTGCATTCAGAGACCCAGGACTCTGACTCCCAGGTGAAACCAGATGGTTTGGGGGCAAGGGTGATTGCTTCTGCACATACAAAGACTGAGTTCACCCAGTGAAGCTCTACTTTCAAGAACGAGCCCTGGCAGGTGTGGCTCAGTGATAGAGCGCTAGCACGCAGACCAAAGGGTCAAGGGTTCGATTCCTGGTTAAGGGCATTTACCTGGGTTGCAGGTTTGATTCCCAGCCCTGGTTGGGGCGTGTGCAGGAGGCAGCCACTCTATGTGTCACTCACATAATGTTTCTCTCTCGCTCTACTGAGGGCGCAGGAGAGAAGGTGAATGGAGTGAGAGATGGTCACTCTCTGAAATCCCTTCCCCTACTCATCCATTGCCTCAGTCCCAGCAGCCTAGCACTCACAGTGCCTGCCTTGGCACCGGGCTTTTTTTTTTTTTTTTTTTTTTTTTACCTGTAGGAGGCTCCTGTTTTCCTGTGACCTCAGGCTCTAGCAGTTAGGAGGGGTTCCAAGTGTCAAAGCATTTCAGGGTTGTCAACCCAGTCCAGTCTGAGTCTCAGAGAGCCTGTGGAGTGGGGAGAGACGCTCACTATGAATCTCAAGGGATTTTACTCAGATTCATTAGAAATGAAAAGATGAGAGAGAGAGAGAGAGAGAGAGTTAATGGGCATGGGGGTGGGAAGGGAAGGGCAGTTTGATTCTCTCCAAGCTTAGTAATGTTTATTGCTCAATCAGAGTGGTTCAGAGGGCCTAGGCTATATATAGAGGTTTTTCCCCTCCCCTGAGCCACTTTTAGTTTGTAGGAAAAAGAGTCTAGCACTCTATATTGACAAATTGCTGAGCATATACAAGACTTTAAACTCCTGGGTTACCAGTCTAGCCTAGACTTGGTCACAAAGAAAGATATTCATTCATTTGTTCATTCTACAATAATAATTGACCCTAACACTCTGTACAGCAGTTATTGTGTTAAGTGTTTTACAATAATCCTTACCAAAACCCTATGATTATTTCTACTTCACAGATAAAGAAACTGAAGCTCAGAGCAGTAAAATAACATTCAAGGTCACACAACTAGTAACTAGGTTGGGTCTGACTGAGCAACCACTGTGTGCCAGGGTCTAAGAACATAGAAAACAAGGCACTTCTTTTTTCTTTCTACTGAACACCTAGTCACCCTTCAGGATCAAAATACAACTGTCATCTTCTTTGTAAAACTTGTCTTATGTCCTCTCCCCACAAGTAGAGTTGACAACTTGCTTTTCTTACACCCCCTGAGATAGCACTTTTCACAGGTATTGTGACAATCGGCTTCCTGATTTCTATTCCTCTAACACCGAGCACCTTGGCAGCAGGGCCTGTTTACTATTCATCTTCACTTGGGTATCTAATAAATTGTTTCCTTTATTGATTTTAGAGAGAGGAAGGGAAAGGGAGAGAGATGGAAACATCGATGAGAGAGAACATCAATTGGCCACCTCCTGCATGCCCCCCACTGGGGACCTGGCCCATAACCTGGGCATCTGTCCTGACCGGGAATCGAACCGGCGACCTCTTGGTGCACAGATGGACGCTCAACCACTGAGCCACACTGGCCGGACTAAAGTAATTCTTTTTTAAAAAATGTTTTTTTTCTCTATCGATTTTAGATAGAGAGGGAGAGAGAGAGGGGGGGGGGGAGAGAGAGAGAGAGAGAGAGAGAGAGAGATTGGCCACTTCCTACATGCACCCCACTGGGGATTTGGCCCACAACCTGGGCATGTGCCCTGACTGGGAATTCAGTTGGATATCTAATAGGCATCTTATAATCAACACATCCAGCTCTGGCCATTGTGGTTCAGTTGGTTGAGTGTTGTCTCATGCACCAAAAGGTCACCGGTTCAATTCCAAATCAAGGCCCAGGCCCAGGTTGTGTGTGCAACAGGAGGCAACTGATTGATGTACCTCTCTCATATCAATGTTTCTCTCTCACCTTTTCTTTCTCTCTAAAATCAATAAAAACATTTTCTAAAAAGATCAATATATCCAAATCTGAACACTTCAT